ATTCAAATAGAAGTCGCATAGTCTTAATACGGATGAATTAGCTTGATAAACATGTCAGATTTAATACATGACTACGAAATTGTTTTTCTTTTCTATTATCATTGTAAATGTTCTCGATTTCTTACGTTTGTATAGCATTTAAAATTGCATTATATTAGATATATCTTGTGGAACTCATATATATATATATATTGTTTTCGAAAAAAATATTGAATGTAACTTTTAATTCAAAGTTTAGTGGTTCCCCATTGCAAATTTTAGCAACTGGGCTGTTCATTGGTTATGTTTCCAAAGTTACCGAGAACAAGAGGTATTGAACCCTTTGTCCAGAGTTTCTTAGCGACGGGTAAGACGCCAAAAACATTCTAAAGTCTTTCTCGAAAATAAAATGGCTCAAATACATTTATAAATATTTTAGTAGTGCAATTTCTTATTTTTGTAAAAAAAAAAAAAATTATATTCAAGATGTCGAGGATGATGAGTAGTCATGCATTGATTTGTCGAAGTCGTCATATGATCAGCATAAAATAATGTAAATTGATCAAGGTATAACTAAGAGAAATAATCAATATTAGTGCTTCTGAGTTTATTCAAATATATAAAAATGTATTGAGACTTGTTTTAGATAAAATAGATATGTACAATAAGCTTATTTACTAGTTAAATCAATATTAGTTAGAATAATAATAATGTTAAATAAAGAAAAAAAAGAAAAACAACGAGCAAATAGTAACAAAACAAATAAAAAATAAAGCGTCTGTAACGAGAAAAGAAAACTATGCTCGAAATTTAGAAATAAATAACACTGATCGATCATCTTGGAAGACAACTGTAACGTACCAAAGATTTTTCGCTTGACATACTTTGTATCAATATCATAAGGCTAAAGAACACATGTGAGTTCCACACGTTATTTCTAAAGAAACTGCACTAAAAAGTTTTGTTTCTTATTTCAGTGACGTATCCAGGATTTTTCAGTATGCTGAATCTCAATTTCCGGGCACGGGACCCAGATGAAACTCATGGAGGGTGATGTTGGATCCAAATAATGAAATTTTATCAAAAAAAATTTATACTCGGAGTTTGCGAAAAAAATTAGCATTTTCCTGATCCCCCCCTCGAGGATTTTTTGCTGTTAGTAGTATCATGGTTTTTAGAATTTCATAGGAAGCTACACCGAATTTCATCGATAGATTTCAAATTTCGTCTGAAAATATGCAACCGTTCAAGAGTTATGACGATTTGAAATTTTGCAAAAATTGTTTTCACATGTAGCAAAAACTCGAAAAGTTATAACTCTTGAACGGTTGCATATTTTTAAACGACATTTGAAGTCTATCGATGAAATTCGGTGTAGCTTCCTATGAAATTCTAAAAACCATGATACTACTAACAGCAAAAAATCCTCGAGGGGGGGATCAGGAAAATGCTAATTTTTTTCGCAAACTCCGAGTATAAATTTTTTTTGATAAAATTTCATTATTTGGATCCAACATCACCCTCCATGAGTTTCATCTGGGTCCCGTGCTCGGAAATCGTGATTCAGCATACTGAAAAATCCTGAATACGTCACTGATTATAGCTAGGAACAATACTCATTAGAGTAAATGAATACATTACAGATTTGAAAATCCTCATATTATCCAAAGTTAAAAGTCATTGTCCATTCTAGAGAATCGTCACCATTGACGTATCCTTAATAACCACAAGCTTTTTGAATACGTACACTTGTATTCAAGCGACATCTATCCCCATCTTTTGATTCGATCTTACTAGTAGTATTGTGAAACGTTTGTTTCACTTTTTGTATATTTTTTTTCTTAATTACTCTTTTGAATGTAAGATAAATGTGTTCGAATAACTCCTTCATAAATATAATTTGATTTCACAAAGCAGAAATTTCATTAAAATGAGTTTGAATTGTTACTATGAGATAATAAAAAAAGAAAATTATGCAAATCATTCTCTTCAAATAAATCAATGAAAAAATTCATGTCAAATTGTAGAAGTCAATTTATTCACAACAACTATTTCTTTTTTATTTTTATTTTAATTCTTATTTATTAGAATAAATCTTTTGTATTTTCAGATAAAATATTTTCTTAGTTCTCTTTAAAAAATATTTATATAATTCAATATGAGTGGTGAGTTTTACTTAATATAATATTTTTTTATTTTATTTTATGAATTATTTACTTTAGGCAAAGCTAATCCACCTGAATTAAAAAAATTTATGGATAAACGATGTCAATTAAAATTAAATGGTAATCGTACGGTCATTGGTGTATTACGTGGTTTTGATCCATTCATGAATTTAGTTATTGACGAAGCTTATGAAGCTCTTAAAACAGGTGAAAAACGTCCAATTGGTATGGTTGTTGCACGAGGAAATAGTGTTTCAATGATTGAAGCACTTGAACGACTTGCTTGATATTTAGTAAATTGTCTCTTTTATTCATATTGTTGATGGTTTTTTTTTTCGTTTAAACTAGATAAGATCATTTTCTTTGTGTTTTTTTTTGTACTTCTTTTCTCGTGTGTTTAAAAGATGAAAAAAAAAATTGAAGTAGCTTGAAGTATATTATTTTGCTGTTGCTTGATTAAGAGATCGAAAAATCCTATTTGATGCTTTTAAAAAATTGATATATCGAATAATGATTTATTATAATGTACATTTTCTGAAAATCAAACGAAGTATAATATCTAGTTTTAGGCTAATAAATCATGAATGATTTAAATACAGAAAAGTTCTATCATATGATATGAAAACAACCGGTTAGAATTGGAACTTTATACGAATTATTGAAGTATTAAGGATTAATATGAATTGAGATGTATCGATCAACTTTGATTAAAATCTTAGCTTACTGGAGAAAAAAGAAATCGATACTCTTTTCATAGATTCAATCTTTCCATTTATCGTTTTTTTTTCGTTTTGTTATGTTTGTGTTGTGACTGATGAGACAATATAAAAGTATTAAATTAGATATTGAACATTTTTAGTCCTACGAAAGAAGTCCTTCAGCTGATAATTGGAACTATATATATCATATAGACCATAATGAATTATCAATATTCTAAAAAGAGTTCGCATTCTTAGCCTATTACTGCAGAGATAGTGCATTTCTTACGGTACATTTTTGTATCAATATCATGGTTGTCATTTTCGACAAAGTCAGTTTTTCTGGTATTGCGAAGGAAATCATAGGATTTCATATGAAGATCAGATGCCCAACAAACTAACATCATTAGAATAGAGTTGAGATCAAATGTAAACACTAGCAAATGAAACACAGGTTGACAATTCTTGATCTACTTGTTCGAAAACTTTGTTGGATAGTTTGATCTTTTTCATGAGTCTTTCAAATTTTAAATTATTAATGAATAATTTTGTAAGTTTTAATAAATGCAACAATTGGATATTGCTCTTTATTAAATTTCATTGTCATATAACTTTGAATCATTATCTGTCATTACTTAGTCCTTGAGAAACACTATGCACAATGTTTTCTTTCAAATTCAATTTGAAAGAAAAAATTCTTTGAATTTACAGACTATTCTTCATCTTTTCCCTACATCTCTATCGAACATTGATCGAAAAAATGAATACGCATGCTGAATTTTATTGCGAAAACAAGGAAAATTTTGTTAGTCGAGTTAAAAAAAGAAAAAATGTTCATATTTCAAAGCATTGTCACAAAAGTATTGTATCTTCATCTTCATTATTGTCCAGTTCTATATAAGGATCCTCAATAGTTGATGGGTGTGGGTTGGTGTGGGTGGGTGGGTGAGAGTATGTATGGGTGGTGTGGGTGTGGTAGGAATATGAGTTTGAATTGAAAACAAAGACTCACACCCACACCCAGCAACAATCGGGTAGACAAAGTTCAGGAGGTTCACTTCAACAACGACTCGCTGTTCTTGCAGCTGAAAAGAAAAGAATTGAAAAAGAAATAGCCGAACTTAAACGGCAATAATATTAAAATTTACTATCATTATGAATTTCTCTTATTGTCTTATAATAGATGAGCATTTGCTATTTCATTTCGCTCTGTAATTAGATATTGTAAAAATATTTATTCTTGCTTTTTTTTAAAACTTAAACTAAATAAAAAAATTATTTGCGATTATTATTTTTTATTCTTCGTTTCCAATTTTTTCTTTCAGTGGCCACTGAAGCTCGTCGGATAGGACCCCAACCCGACCCGGGTCTGCTCGCGTCCGGATTCGGGTATAAAAATTTCGTTTTGACCGGATCCGGATCGTGCCCGGATCTGAAGAAAACTTTGATGCATACAATGTACTGTGAATTTTTTTAAAGTTTTGTTTGTTTTATGAAGAAGAAGAAATCGAATGTATTTAGAAAATAGATAAAAAATAACAAAATACTTGTTAACTATATTATATAAACTGATCTATCATTGTGTTTGGGTTCAAAAAATTTAAGCGACCGGCTCCGGGTCCAACATTTTCTAAACAAGCGGGTCCGGGTTCGGATCCGCGCAGAAGAAATTTTGAATAATCGGGCGCGGATCAGATTCCGGGTCCAAAAATCTTGGACCCAACGGGCTCTAGTAGCCACTAATATCATCAATTGTCAATATATATTCTGATTGTTATTTACAAATTCTTAGAAATGTACTTCGAATAGATCCTCATACAATACGTTTCATTGGAAAAGGTCAAATAGTTGATATTAATAGTAAACATCTACTTGAATATGGTATAACAACAAAAGAAACTCGATCACAAATCTATTTCAATTAGAACTTTCTCTTAAATTAGATGATGATTTATATGAAAGTGCTGAAATAATTCCTTATTCTCTCCAAAATTATTGTTCAAATGATGAATAACAATAATCAATGAATTATTCAACGGATACAAAATAAAAACAAGTTACGTTCTTTCTTATTAACTTTTTTTTTTTATTAAAAGAAAACAAAGCCAAAAGTAATGATTATTATTCTTGTAAAACAAGAAATAATTAATCATAAGAATTACATTCGTTCTAATGGTTGAATACCTAAAATTTCAAAACATTGTTTCAATACATTTGCTGTTGCTTCACATAAAAGTATTCGTCGATAATTAATTCGAACTTTACCAGTTGTTTTATCTTTTTCAACACAATAACATCGATCATAAAAATCAGTAAATGTTGTTGCCAATTGATACATATATTCACATAAACCATGCATTAATAATTCATCAAGTACTCGTGTAAATACATCAGAATATTTAATAATACATTTAGCTAATTTTAATTCACGTTCTTCAATTTCAAAATTAAGGTCAATATCATGTATCATTGCTTTTAATACTGCATGATCAACACCAGCTGTTCGAGCAATAGATCTATTTTATATTTCAATAAATAAGACAACAAAAAAAAATAATAATATTTATATTACCGAATTCGAGTATAAGCATAAAGTAAATAAGCAGCTGTATTTCCTCGATCATCAAGCATCTATAATTAAATAGGAAAAACAAAAATTGATTTGAAATTTCTTGTATTTTTCTTACTCGATCAAATGAAAATATATAATCAGAATTTCGATTATGCGATAAATCAGCATATTTAATACAACCATATGCAACTGATTTTTGAGCTTTTTCAAATTCTTCAAATGTTAATACCTAAGAACAAAAATTTAAAAACAATTATTGAATAGAAAAAAGATTTTTACATTATGTCGATTTTTTTCTTGTAATTTAGCTATCGATCGTTCAATACCTTCATCAAGTAAATCTCGTAAACGAATCGTTTCACCGGATCGACTTTTTAATTTTTTGCTATGAGAAAAAAAAAGCAGAAGATTAATCAATATTTCTTATTCGATATATATATATATAATAATCTATCCTCATACCCATCTTCACCAAGTACAACACCAAAACCAACATGATCCATTCGAACATTCTTTCCATCAGTCCATCCAGCTAATTTTGCTCCAGCAAAAATTAATTGCATATGAAGAGCCTATTTTTTTTAATATAAAAGTCAAAATTCTTTTATTATAAAAATGATTTACTTGACCCGAATCAATAACATAAATAAGCCAATCAGCATTTTCTTCAATTAGACGTTGTCTTATTGTTGCCATATCACTTGTATCGTATGTAAAACTTCCATCAGTTTTAACAATTGTTAATGGAACATCAATTCCAGGTACAAAAATTACTTGACGACCTTCTTCTAATTTTAATAAATCTATTTAGAAAAAAAAACAAAATAAATATACTAATTTTCTTCTAAAATATGCTTATTCTTTTACTTTTCGATTCAAGTTCTTTAATAAGATCAATCATTCTGCTTTGATAAAAAGATTCACCTCGATCAATTATTTTAACATCAAGTTCTTTATAAATATATTCGAAATCTAAATTATTATTTAAAATTCATCAACAGACAACAAAATTTTATTTCGATCAAACCTTGTCGAGATACATCACATATGAGTTTCCATGCATGAATTATATTTGGATCAAATGCTTGAAGTTTAACAACACATTCATAAGCTCGTTGTTTAAAGTCAGGATCAGAATCAAAATGTTTTTTTGATTCCTAATAAAATTTCATTTTTGAATAAAATTAAACATTAAATTAATTAATTTTACTTTATAAAATGACAAAAGATCACTAATTGATGGTGATTTCGTTTTATATTCAGGATAAATATCTTGTAAGTGAGCAATAAGCATACCAAATTGAGTACCCCAATCACCAAGATGATTTAATCGAAGTACATCAAAACCAGCATATTCAAGAAGACGAGCAATACTATCACCAATGATGGTTGATCTATATATATATATATAGATAAATAAACAGTGCACATTTAATTTTAACATTCGATCGAAAGATCGTTAAAAAACGAGATTATTCATATTCAATTCTTTCAACTAAATCTACACATCCCATACAAATCGATAAACACTCCCACATCTTCTATTTAAAATAGAACGATATAAGAATAGCTTTGATTCAAAACAGAAAACAGTTAGAAAGAAAAATGATTAAGGAACTTGATAAGAGTAGATTTTCGATCTTCATTAAGTATTGGAAAAATACCACAACATATTAACAAAAATCCACACGTCTTTTATCAGCAAGCAAAGGATGGAATGTGCATTCTCGGGAAAAGTTCCAGGTCATTGACAATCGATGAAAATGCATTAACTTAACAAAAGGCATCTATCACTTATGAGGAAGAAATTCATTGTTGTAGCTTCAAAATTTGTTTTCCGTCAGATTTTTGCATGAGATATTACATCTTCAATCTGGCGCTTTTTTTTGTCTTTAATGAACTTACCGTAAATGTCCAACATGCATTTCTTTAGCAATATTTGGTGATGAAAAGTCAATGACAACTTTCGGCTTTTTATTTTCATTCTGACTTCTATGATTGCCAACCATATTTAAAACATTGGGTGGTAAAACACCTTTCAATAGAATATTGCGAATTTGTTTGGAAACAAATGTTGCAGAAATAGTAACATTAATAAAACCTGGTCCAGAATATTCAATCTGTTAAAAAAAAATGAAAAATCTTTATTTTGATAATCATTAAATCTTAACAAACTTTTCCAATCATCTCATGTTGAGGAAGATTTGCAACAATTATTTTGGCAACTTCTGTTGGTACAATTTTTTTGCCAGCTGCAGTTAATCTCTAAAACAAAAATCGAACATGTATTTATTTATTTATTACAATTTCTTCTAACCTGAGCAATAGCCATAGCCGAATTGCACTGATAATCAGTTTGTCGTCCAGGTACGACAACGGCTGGCAAAGTTTGATCTTCTGGAAAAGCTTTTCGAATAGCTTGTTCAAAAAGACCACTCAATGTGTTAGAATATATCATAATATATTTCATGAACAACTCTTGAAGTGCTGTGACAAATAACAATAACTTGACAAAGAATGAATCAATGAACTGAACTTACAATAAAGAAAAGAAGAAATATATATATATATAAGTCTATGTAATAACCAATCAGAAGATCGTTAACCAAATGAAGAGGACGTAGAGGTTAGGTAGAGAGCTGCGGGTCCTTCCAGACCCGGGTCCGGGTCTGAAAATTTAGCTTTTCCCGGGCCCCGGTCCGGATCCGGGTCTAAACCTAAGAGAAAAGTCAGACCTGGTCTGCATTAAGTTATGAATGGAAATATATAACAATAACAATTGAAGTCAACAAAATTGAAAAAGAAACAGTCAGAAATAATTTTACACTCATTTTACCTTTAAAGTCGCCAATAAAGAACTAAAATTGTGTTCCCTTTTCTGTTCATGTACACATAGGGTGCCAAATATTGGTGAAAAAAGGATCGGGTCTAGACCCGGCCGGGTCCGGGTTTAGACTCAGCCGGGTCCGGGTCCGGGTCGAGTCCGGGTCTGAAAATTTAGTTTTTCTGGGGCCCAGGTCCGGGTTCGAGTCCAAAAAAACATGGACCCGCAGCTCTCTAAGGTTGGGGAACGACGGATGACGTTTCCTAACAATGCTCCCCGCCAACAAAACAAAAAAAGATGTTTCCGAACACTTGAAGTGATGCATGAAAACAACGATAATATAAGTAAAGAAGAAAGTAGAGAGAAAGAGAACGGAAAAAAGAAACAAAAAAAAAAGAAAAAAGTTGATCGACATTATTTCCATTTACGATAATAAAACCGTAATTGGAAGATTTCATTTGGAAAATGACATCGAAATTCATGCAGTGACGTAACCAGGGGTTGGTAAATCGGCAATTGCCCATTGAAATTTGGAGCTTTGCCCATTGAAAATTTTATTAATAAGTTTTCGCCCATTGAAATTTTACTTGTTCACTATTGTAAATATATTTTTTCTTTACTTTTTTTCTTTCGTCTCTTCATATAATGCTGAAATATGGGATAAAATGAACTACAGCCTAGCTCGTCCAGTTGATAGCCTTGTTTCTTCTTCCATGATAATATATTATAAGCAAAGGCAAAAGAAAAAAAAAGAAAAGAACAAGTATACATATATACAATTGTGCATTTGTAATTTTATGGTTCTATTTTAAAACACACTAATACTATCGTATGTCGAATGAAAAGCGACCTAATACTAATAGATTATTCAGCGGTAATTTTTCTTCGCAAAAAAAGATATTAAAATAGACTTGAACATATCTGATTCAGGCTTAAAATCTGAGTTTCATGTACATTTGATTAAAAGAGCCTCATGTCATCTTTGTTTTGTTAATAAAAACACCTTATTTCTTTTTTTGTATAGATAAAATAACCTCATTTCCATTTTTGTTTTTTACATTATTAGTACTTCGTTGAGTTAAAAAAGTTCTGTCCGATCGATAAAAGTCTTGCGCATTGTGCCCATCGTATCTTTTCTACACAAGGGAGGTTTGCCTATTGGTCTGATAATCGTGATCACGTCACTGAATTCATGGTTATAGGAAGAATCTCGTTGTTTACTAATAATTGGAAATGCGGTATCTTCGTATGGTGATTCAGCATGGAATCTGAGAATTGAAAAATGTGGAGTATCTTCACAAATCGTAAGGTTGTATAATGGTGTTGTAGTTTTATCATTCAAATTCTGGTAGAAGATATGGAATTTATAACCCTGAATAAGTGTTGATGGCAGATGATCTGTATCATAATGTTTTTTATAATAATGATTCCAATCATAACCATTATGAACTTTTTTTAAAGCTCTAGATTTACATGGTCGATGTTTAGTAGACCATAAATATTGAATATGCTGTGGTGCAACAGGATTAAGTAATAAATCATCAGCTGTTAAACTATCTATATTTTCAACAAAAGGTCCAAAAATATCTTCAACATTAGTTTTAACAGAATCCGATTTAATAACAGGTTCATCTTATTGTTTTAATTTATCCCAATTGTTCGTTGCATCTGTATATCGTTGTTGAATGTTCAAATTACGATCATTTATGTTAAGTAACATACGTGAATAACGACCTTGTTTATGTTCATGTATACATTGATTTTTTAAATCTTCAAATGATTCGATTCGATCATGATTAAATAAATCTAATTGATTATCTTCGTTATCTTTGTCCTTTTCTGATAGTGGTGAAGTTAAAGAGATGTTTAATCAAATGGATAGAGGGGTATGCAATATATTCTGTTCTTGTGTGATTTCTTCTAATCGTTCTTTAAATGTGAATTGATGTCGATCATCATCTTTAGGATAATTATTGACAGGATTTATTAAAGCATGTGCAAGTTGGGTTCGTCTAGATGTATGAGCTTGATTATTCATGAAACGATGTTATGAAGAAAGACGAGCTTGTGGGAATTGTCATTGTTACAATGACGATAGTTATCAGAAGGTGCTCGAAATGATGGATTTGTTGCTGATGAAGATAATTTAGAAGTAGCGTTTCTAATAGAAATTATTGATCGAAAAAATGAATAAGCATGTTGAATTTTATTACGAAAACAAGGCAAATTTTGTTAGTCGAGTCAAAAAAAAGAAAAAATGTTCATATTTCAAAGCATTGTCACAAAAGTATTGTATCTTCATCTTCATTATTGTCCAGTTCTATATAAGGATCCTCAATAGTTGATGTAGTTTAAATTGACTTCCGTATATTAAGATATTCATTTTTTGCTATTGTCTATGCTTTTCTTTCCCCATGAGTAAATGGTATTATACTATCTTTTCTTAGATTCGTTTCATTTAACTCATCGATTATATCGACGAAACGTGGTCGTTTAGCTATATTTGCATTCCAACAACGATACATTAAATCATATAAACTTTCTGAACATCGTTCTGGTTGTGGCAATCGACGACCTTGTTCAATTAAAAATCGCTTCAACAAACAAATCCCTTGTTGAGTATTATTATTGATATCTGCTTCATATGGCATTGCACCAAATGAATAGATTTCCCAAACGACCAAACATCCGATGATGATGAAAGTATTTGTGTTCGATCAAAACATTTCTGTGCAGATCAAAGTGCTAATACAATACAATCATTAGCTTCAAGTTTTTCACCTTCACGACGTGATAAACCAAAATCACTAAGTTTAATATATTTTTCATTTTGAAGTAGAATATTTCTTGTTGCTAAATCACGATGCACTATTTTATTATTTGATATAAATGCCATAGTTTATGATAATTGATAGATTCAATGAAATGCGTCTCTTAATGAGTCCAATGAATACGGATCTAATTTTCTTAAATATGAATGCAAATTTCCCATTGGTACATATTCCATAAATAAATGTAAATCTCTTTCTGAATTATGATCAAAAAGAAATGTATGGATAATGAATAGATTATTTTTGAGTTGTTTGAGTAGTATGTTTGATTCATTGTCATATTCAAGATGAGTACGAGAACTATATTCCAAGGAAAATTCATCATTCGAAATAGTAAGTTCATTTCGTAAAAGACTATTTAATTCTTTTAAACGATATTGCTTAAATAAATCAATATTTTGCTTCGGCAGATTAATCTTTGATAATGATAGGAAAAGATGTTCTTTGATCTAATCGAACTTTTTCTAGTCATACAAATCGTTTGTCACTTTCTTAAATAATTTTTGCTGTTTGTATTTGAAATAAATCGATATGATCAATTGACTTAATATCTTTGACAGTAATGGTTTCTTCATTCTCAATGTCAAATTCTTCAGCATCAGTACTATAAATAAATAAACAATAGAATATACTAGATATGGACAAGACGATTCCAGTCGCGTCGAGATCGGAAACAAGTTCTTTTGACGAAAGTCAGGAACAGAACTAAAAATGATTAGTCCTGCTCATTACTAGCATGTATAGATAAGATAGTGATTTGGATAAAAAACGCTTGAATTTATTATAAATGTCTTATTGAAGCCAACTGTTCTTTCGTCGACCTTACACACGTTCATTTTTATGAAATCGAAGGATTACTAGAAAAATTTATCACATTTTTTCTGTCAACGATCTCTGTTTTCTAGTGAGAAGAGAAATACTGAATGATTATCTATCAATATCACAAATAATAAATTTGAAGAAAAACTTTTCACATTTAGATTCAGGTAGACGTCTATCAGTCCATCCTGAGTCGAAGAATAAACTATTGTGTATACCCACTATTCACAGTTAAGGATTAACCATTTTTTACTATACTTTGCTAAAGAGTATATAGTGCTGCCTGTACTCGAAGAATTTCTTCTTTGCTTCTGTCTATGGTGAGCTGTCACTTGATGGTTACATTCTACTAGAGTAAACGACGTCACTAAGTACTTACAGGTCTTTATATCAGGAAGAAGGAACATGATTTCATTGTCTGCAAAGATCAAAACATTTTTGTTCCACACACCGATGTTTTTAGTAGGTAGGGCAAACCTGTACATCTCTAGTTTGCAGAATTTCTAGAAACTTTTTAACCTATTTCTGTTCGTTCTTTTTTATTGTTTGTTTTCTTGAACACTTTGCTCTCATGCCAAGAGCCTGTAACTAACATATCGCTCCTTTAAGACCATAATAGTTAGAGAGCAATAAAAAGCTTTAAAAGAAAAAGAATGAAAGCCATTCAAAAACTGTCTACATCTGTTTTCATATGTTTTTCGCATTATTTGTACTTAAAAGCTGCAATACACGCATATATACAGTACATTCAACCAGTCCATATTCAAACAAATATCTTAGCGTATTGATCGGTATTCTATCATGTTTCGAAATTGTCTACAATCGTATGATAATATACAGAATTACTTACGTCGATTCCGGTTGATTATTAAGTAATATTAGATTTTTAGCATCGATTGGTATCATTTCATTATATTCCTTTCGAACAAAACTTTGCAATAAAGTTGGTAATATACCTTTATATTTAGTATGATTATAAATTAATTCGTCAGGTGATTTAAACAGTACTACTTGTGTTTGGTCATCTTGTTTGTATCAGTTATTAATGTATACTTATAAAGAATCTTTCTTGGTGGATTTGATGAAAACGTCAAACTATAACTATGTCTTTGCGAAATACGATAATCAAATACTTGTCCATTATGATGAACACAGAAGCCAAGTTCTCCTTTAGGTTCGATTCTTGTTTTTTTTTTCTTTGATATAATAAGAAAATACCTTAAGTTTTAAAACAATGTCTATTATCACATTGTTTAACACGTAATCGAATTTTTCCAAATGTATCAGGACAAGCTAAATCACGCAAAATAGTTTTAGCATCATAACGAGATGATACTTCCGTAGGATTTTATTGATTAAATTGATATCTATTGTTCCTGTTGACATTCTAGAAATTAAAAAGAAACTAAATTAACACTAGAGAAGAAATTATTTTTAGCATATTAACGAACGCTAAATAATGAAATGTTGATAGATTCGATTGATGAAGATCATCCATAGTTTTTCTAGAAATGTTTTCAAGATGAAAGAATACAATATTAAATAATGAAAAAATGAATTATACCTTGGATTAATATAATGTGGATCAGCTTGTCGGTCAATTAACTTCTTTACTATCGTAGGAATACCTTGTCGACATGCATAATGTAATGGTGAACAACCTTCTGTATCGGTTATATTAATATTAGCTTTGTTGTCAAGAAGATCTTCAACAAAGACATACTTTTTGGAAAGAATGGCTAATATTAATGGTGTTTGACCTTGTTTATTTTTTCCATTTATTTTATTTACTATAAACAAAGCTTTTTTTCGTAGAGGATCAAGATCATTTTTCGATATTCTAATAAGTTCCTTAAAGTATGATAATAAATCTTTCGTAGCTAATACATGAAGAATGGTATTTTGACAACTCATGGCACGAACTTCATCAGGTAGTGGAACACACGTAGTGATTGTTGGTTCAATTGATCGGTATAGACAAATTCGAATTGGATATTGTAATTCATAAAATTGATTTTCTTGTTTATGTCGAATGAGTACATCGATACCAGTATATACTCGTCTTACTTCAGAACCATGACCACATTCTGTATAAAGTAAAAACACAAGACTTATTAATGAGCTTAGATTGAAAAGAAAATAAAGATTATTTATTGAATTGTCATATGGTTCAATAATTATTTTTGAAATAAATAAAGTTGCTGATAATCTTTCGTTTTCAGACACACAAAAAAAAAACTTAATCATCAGTTTTAATAAAATTTAGAAGTAATAGGTTAATGGAGATTTAGAATCAAGAAAAATCAACGTACAGATGTAGCTTATTGAGTAAAACAATTGCTGGCATTAAGTTTCAATGAACATTGTTCAAGATGTCATTTGTTGTTCATTTCCAATGATGTATTAGATATTTGCTTGAAAACACTGATCTAATTGGACAACCATAAACTTTTACAGTACTGATCAAACTTATAAAAAATTGAATACGTTGATTTTATGCATTGATGACTAATAATTGTATCAAGCTAAGATCATTAATTATTTTTTATGATCCAATATTCTATGCAATTATACATTGCCATACATTACTAACTACGTTCAATTGGGTCAGTATTTTATGTTGATTTTTCTTAATGCTAAGTAATAATTGTGTCAAATTTTCTTGTCCGAAAGTTTCCATACTGAAAATTTCGCTTCTCAGCATCTATTCATGTACTCATCGGAAAGAAACCAAAATGTTCGATGTTCCTTATCACAACAAATTGGTACTTCGACAATTTTTTTGTGAGAAACAAAATCAAGATAATATTCAATATTCGAAGTTCGTTCACTTTCTTCAGCTGACCGAACAAAAAAGGTTCCTATGTATATGTCGAAAAAAAAACATGCATATATATAAATTTTAAATGAAATTACCATCAATGGCTTGTTTAAGTACATTACGTGCGCGTAACATCGCAGACTGATCATTTATATAATAATAATAATTTATTTCACTTCTCTGTAAGTCATCATATTCATTTTCAATACGTTGACGAAAATTTTCAGCTTCTTTACTAGTTAGTTTTGATGCATATGTTTTTGATGTTTTAGTATTAGTAGATTCAAAAGAAGTATGACTTTCATAAGCCGACATTGAATTATGTCTATCATGTTTTGTATTTAATTTTGATCCATGACTTGTTTGGAGATTTTTTAGTGTATCTTTTGATTTCCTAGCCCGTTTTCCATTAATAGAACGATTAGCATTGTTCACACTTGTATTTGAAATTATTGAAGATTCAAAGTCAGAAATAGAATTTTGGTTCGATGTTATCTTCTCCATCATCATAATGATCTGATATGCAATATATTGTAAAAGAAAAAAAAACATTAGTAAGACACATGGTTGAATGAATCGTAAAAAGATACTTGGACAAATAATGAGGTGATGCTAAAGACATTGTTTAGGTTCTTTATTTTGTTCTTCTCATCTATGATGAATTAAGCAAAGTGTGAGAAATAATCACAATAATTAGCATGTAAAACAGTAAGAGAAATATTATTTCATTTCGGTCATGAGACAAATATTTGTAAATATTACATTCTGACGAAGATAGAGATCGAATAAAATTAATTCAAATTGTTATTCAAGTTTTAAGTTTTGATCTTGTGCATAAATATCATTTTGTATTTTTCAAATCTATTCCACTGCTAAATATTCAAAATTGAAATAAAGAATTTTAAATTATACACACTGTATAGAAAACTATTTCGTACATTTTTTGTTGAGTGGCAAATTTCGAGTAAGTTACTCATGAGTATTATCTCTAATCATTCTTTCATTAGCATACTTACTACAATTTGAGTACTAAAATTTATCGTATCGACATATCTTCTAGAGATAATTGGCATATTGATATAAAATATGTATGGAGAGTTTAACGAACGAGAAGAATTCTGCGACAGACCGATCTTTCATCCGAATCTATAGTTTGATGATCATTAAGAAGATAAGTGACCATTTCTAGAATTTGTCAACTATCAGAAAAATATTGACCTTAACGAAATCACGTTAGCAGTACCCTAAATCAGTAACGAGAGGCAAAAGATGAAGTATCTTGTGTGAAACATGATCTAAAAGGAATGTAGAGATCTAGAAGTAAAAATTTGGAACGTCTTTCATAGACTGTTTATCAGTAACTTCTCATTCTAATATATGAACGACTTCCTTATTGCATTGCTGGAGGATAAGCTAAAAACATGTTGAGTTGATGTCTCTCAAACTAGATAGACTCAAACAATCTTCTTGTGATTAGCAACAGCAGCTATGTGCGATTTTACATTTTAATCTCGCAGGAATTGTGCCCTCAGCTTTCTATCAGAACAAACTGATATTTTAATAAATTTTCTGTTAACAACAAGATCAACAGAATATATGACATGTTAAATGTGTTCTTCTTTTTTAGCTGATCAGACAATATATATGCCGATAAATATATATAGATGACTAGAATGTTATGTGTCTACATTAGTAGTACTTCGAAGTTGTTCATGTCTTTGAAGCAATACCGAATGAATCCTCAACATAATAACAATGATGTAGTTCATTCCTCTGAAGTTTGCCGTATTATTGTTCGATATGTTGACAAAATCTTTCAATCTATGTAGTGTCTAGTGTTAATCAGTATGTTTTTGATAAAGCACAATACTTAGGAATAGAGATGTAAGTCAATGGGTTAAACCACCACCAACACTCTAGTAAACAGCCGCAAGTCATTGATGTCATAGCATAAAAATAAATACTAAACTGTAGAAAGATGTCAACATCTAGGATTAGTTTTCAGGGGTGTTCTTATTCAAGCTTTTTTAAAAATCGTTACATTCTCTACCATCGCTTTTTTTTTTATTTGAAGATTTGCCTCAGCTAATAAAATCTTGAAAAGACATATGCCTCTCTTCATAAAAACGAATTACATTTCAATGTTTATTGACATGATGATTGCAGACAAACCATATCAAGTTGTAGTAATACACGTTTTGTTTTCAAGAAACAAATACAATAGGCATTTTTCATATAATAGCAATGGAGATCTTCAAGAGTACAATACAAAAAAATTCAATCGTAATAAATTACCTTAATCATGATCAAGAATAAATAACTGTCAAAATTGAAATATGTTTGAAAGAAACGAAAAACACAGAATGCAAACATACTCAAGTTACCAATGAATATGTCGATCGATTAGGTTTTAAAAAAAGAATCGAAATAGAAAAATGCTTATGTTCTTGTAGGCATGTCATTTCAATTATTTTTAATACAACATCAAGCACAATCATTCAGAATTATTTGTAGACAAAAAAAGAAGAAAAGAAATGAATAATAATATAATGATTAAATTTTTATTTTTAGCAATATTCTTACGCCATCTTTTTCTGATATTATAAGACTTGGTTGGTTGATTGGTTTGTTTCTCTAGATTATTAAAAAGGTTGAAAGTCAGCTGTAGTAAAGAACAAATAATATACGCAGCTTGTTCAAGAAAGTCAATAAAATGAAAGAAAATTATTTTAGTGTTTCTTTTCTTTTTCTAGAAACTGTTTTTTTTTCATTGCGTCATTGTCGTATTTTTTGGTTCAATTCCGTGCATTTCACCTTTAAATCAATATAATGCTTGGGTGGGGTATTAATGTCCATGGCCAACTTGGTTTAGGTCCATCAGCAGTAACAAGTTTTATTCCTACCCCACAACGTATACCATTTTTTAATGATTATATATGTATACAAGTTGCATGTTCATTAACACATTCAGTATTTTTACTTGATGATGGAAGTGTTTATACAGCAGGAAATAATGAATATTCACAATTAGGTCGAGAAGGTCGAACGACAATACCTGGTAAGATTTGGCATGAAAAACATCGTATGTTTTGTTCAAAAACTTTGTTTTGTATTGTTTTTCAGAAAAAGTTATCTTACCTCAACAAGCTAATGTTGTTCAAGTTGCATGTGGACAACATTTTTCACTTTGTTTAACATCAAATGGAAAAATAATTATTTGGGGTTCATTAAGTGGAAAAGTAACAAATGATGATGGATTTTTTTATGAAAAACCTGAGTAAGATCTTATTTTTGTTTGATAATAATGAGTAAGAATTTATATGTACATATGTTTTGTTTGTCAATTAGATATTTGGGAGGCTTTAGTGAAAAACGAATGATACAGATTGCTGCTGGATATACTCATTGTCTTGGATTAACTGATGTAAGTTAAAAGAATGAACTTATAAATATAATTTAGTTAAATATAGGATGGAACAGTCTATGCATCAGGAGTTAATGCACATGGACAACTCGGTTTAGGACATAATCATGATTGTGTTCGTGCAACTCCAATTGGATGTCTTCGAGGTAGTCCTATTATTTTTATAGCTTGTGGTGCACATCATTCATTGATTATATCAAAAAGTGGGTAAGTAAAAATTTGAAAGAATGTTTTTATAAATTATAAAATTGATATTTTCTGTTTTTTATAGAACTGTTTTTACATGTGGTCTTAATTCGTAAGTATTTATAAAGAAAATATTTATTGTTGTTTTTTTTTAACATTATGATTGTACTAATTATAGATCAGGTCAATTAGGTCTAGGTGATAATGATTCTCGTATATGGCCAAGTAATGTTAAATCATTACAACAACAAAAAGCTACCTATGCATCATGTGGAGAAAAACATTCAGTTGTTATTACACTTGAAGGAGGAGTTTTTTCATTTGGATCTAGTTCACATGGACAACTTGGACATAATTCTACATCTGATGAACTATTACCAAGAAAAATATCTGAATTAATGGGTTCAGAAGTTTCACAAATAGCTTGTGGAAGGTATGTCTTAACAGATTAAGACTTATTCATTATTTTTGTTGAAATCGATTATATCAATGAGCCAAATGTACTTTTGAAGTTAAAAGAATTTCTCAGATAAGAAAAGGATGTATTTTTAGAAAGAAATAATACAAAAACGCAATTTACTTTTATTTTTCGAGTCCATTATTATTTTGTTTTCTCCAAACTTATTGACAAATGTAAACGAAGGAAACCTATATTAATTAACTATATACACTTCGAATAACCTAACATATACGCAATTAGATTCATAAAAGACAAAGTTACCATGATCACATAGAAACACTTAATTGCGCACATTTCTATACGTCATACATTGTATTCTCTTTTCTCTATTTCTTAAAGATAATGTAGTTTTATAAGTGCGACAAGATCAATTGTTTCTTTAAATAAACTACTATTAGTCATCTAGGTCAACAAACATTGTTTTACTTAACAACCAAACAATGTGCCTTTAGTGAATAACTACAAAATACGAATTTTGATACAAATCTGTTTATTATAAATAATACAAATACAAAACTTTAATCTATATTCAAATTTTTAATGAAAACATTCATATAGATGTCAAAGAAAGTCTTCTATTGAGTGACAGCAATTTCAATCCAGGCTTAAGAGTTGATCTCACAAACCCCTATAAAAAGCCTTATTTATTTCATTAATACCTACATTCGATAGTTGTTGAACACAACGCTATAACTCTAGTATGATCTAAATTCATATTTCACAGCACTACGAAATGTAGCTTTTCTACTCACTGTAAACTATATATATATATCAGAATTTTCAAATAGATTTATACTTAGTTCTAATTTCAAATAATAGCTATGAATATTGTCTATTTTGATTTAGATCTCATACAGTCATATTCATGCCAAATATTGGTCACATATCCACATTCGGATTGGCTTGTGCAGGTCGTATAGATACAAAATTAACTACATATGCAACAATACCACAAAAATTAGCAATACCATTTTTACCATATAAAACAATGAAACAAGTAATTAGAAATCACATATAAGGTTAATCTCAAATTTATTTTTACTTTTTTATTTTTAGCTTAATAGACAAGTATCAACAGATAGAAATTATACATCATCAAATCGTAAATACAAATCCGGAGACACAAAAACTGTACAAACAAATCTTCAAGTTATTGGAATATATGCTGGTGGTCATCAAATATTTGTTCGAATTTCTTCTCGAGTTTGTGGTTTTGTGTTTTTTTTTTCTCCTCTGAGAAAAACAGAAAATAAAGAGAATATTTAATTTAGGCACAACGTCCAGATGATTATCGAACTTCATATACCAATCGTCCACTTCTTGAATTAAATCTTGATTTTGCTAAATGGCTCAATAATGCTTCTCAAAGTTCAGATACATTTAAAGATGTTGAAAGGTTTTATTTTCTATTGACAAAAGAAAAAAAACAAACTAAGAAAT